AGAAAATTTTAAGTAAAAAAATTTTTTACCAACATTTTTTAACTAAATTTAAATAATATTCAAGTCAAAAAATCGTATCTAATTATAGCTATACTATCGAATTATTTAAAAAAAGTATTTAAAAAAATTTAATTCAAACAATTTCTTGACCAACATTTTTGTCAACTCTACACACTGTACACTTCATTTTATAACGCATTGCACACACATGTAGCTCATCGGAAGCACACTACAGAAGCTGTTGACAGTTGACATGCAGTTGGGTGTGTTGTTTGGTCAATAAATTAGTTGCATGCGCATTTCTCCATCAATGTCAATGTTGAATTCAACTGTTGAAATAGGTGTTGATTAATTTAATTAAACAAATATGGTTAATTTGATGGCAACGTCTGGTTGACTGACATTTCTTGATCAGTTGTAAAATAGCTTCTCATTGAAATGCAGATAAAAGAGAGGTGTACGCTTTATTGAATTGCAAAGAAAAGCTTAAAGAGGAATTATATAATATAATTGGTGATTTTTAGAGGAATTGCTGGAGCCATGGTATATATATTTAAGGAAACTTATAAAATTAAGAGACTTTTGATGAAATAATTATTATTCATTTAATTTTTGTAATAAAAATTATATCGAAGAGTTTCAACATTGTGTTAAATATCACCTTGCTTAGACGAAAAGCATTGAAAAATAAAAACGGACTTGAAAATTTTGTGATTGAAAGTTTCTTGGCACATACTTTTAACATTTTATTTGACTCTATAAATTTCAAAAAATGCAAAATATTTTCCATTATTAAATCCAAATATTGAATAAATATTGCAATATATTTTTTAATATCAAATTGCAAATTCAACTTTTAAATTATACCTACAGTTTCTTTGAATACCCCACTTATTAGAATTCATCTTTCGAGTTCCTTCCCAAAGTCTTTTGTAGCACTGCAACAGCCGCATTATTAAAAATTCAATAAAGAACTAAAATCATTAGCATAAATGCATATTCTGTTTAGCATTTTTCGGGCTATTATTTTTAAAGTATGTAGCAAGCGCTCTAAAATTGCATTATTAGCGCACAAATCAATTGTTTATCACTTCCTCAGCAAGTTCGTCGCTTAAGTCTTTTGTCTCAACCAAAGAAGCTGCGAAGCAGGAAGTATACGAAACCGCAGCATGCTTCTTTAGTATATATATATAATCGAAACTATAAAAACGACGACCTTTATTATATTTTTATGCAGAAGTTGGGTATTTTAATAGCACACACACATGCACAACACCAGCATAAACAACATATGTATGTATGCATGCGTGTATGGCTTAATTAATGCAGACCCAAGTGAGACTACGAGTGCACTCAATGACCCTGAACTCTTTTCAAGCTATTATAATCGAAACTTGCAGTCGAAACCCAAAACTAAAACAAAAATTGATTAAATAATAACAAAAACAAAAAACATATGCACATGCGTTTTGGGCTGATATGCCATCGCTTCGAGGGTGAAGGGACAATTAGCACAGTTGATTATTTTTCGATAAAAATGGGCAAGCAAACTGCGAGGGAAACACGTTGTTGGACCAGTCCGTTGCGGTTAATTTGATAATTATGCTTTTATCAGCTTTTTTATGGCTGCAGGTATATGCAAGTCTTTATGGATTGGTGGGAATGTGCGCGTATGCAAGTGTGAAGGTTGGGTTAGTTCACAGATATGATTTATTATCATATATAGGAGTATAATTTATGAAAACGTAATATTTGGTAAGGAGACGAAATAAAATAAATTTTAGTTCAAAAAAGTTTTCAGAAGTATTTTTGAAATTGCCAATATGAAGAGTTTCCAACTTAGTTTTGGTATTTTATGTAAATTACACTATTGAAAAAGTACCATACTAAACAACTGGAACAAGTACAACGGGCTTGCTTGCTGGGGATTACGAGAGCAATGAAAACTACTTCAAGACATCCGGGCAATACACTTTCCCAAATAGAGAATATTTGGCTAATAGTTCTGTTATCCACAGTTCCAACGACGAAATCTACATATTTACTGACAGATCAAAAGGTGAAAGATGAACAGGAGCGGAATTTTTCTGTAGTAATCCATGCACGAAGTGCAGCTGCAAAATAAACGACTATAATTTGGTCTTTCAGGCCGAAATTGTGGGCATAACAGAGGGTGCCAAGTGGGCTTCTGATCTAAGCAGCAAGTCCATAAATATTCTAAAGCAGAATGTAGTTGCTCTAAAAATTTTATTAGAAAATTAATTTAAAACTCAATATGTCAGGAAAATTTCTGGAAAATTTCAAATTAATTACTCAGATAATATTTCTTAAAATATATGAACAAAGTTATTGCAAACCTAGGTATTATTTTGAACAAAAAAATACTCAACAACCACAACAAAAGGATGCTGTCACTTAGTTAAACCTGCCATACTAAATTAGCAGTTTTGCAAGCGCATAAGACTGGTTTTGAAGGGAGATAAATGCTGTCTTGTTTATGACTAATATTTGAGCTGCATGATTACAGCATCTATTATATATTATTTCCTTCTCTCTCACTGCTTTACTATATACTCTCATACACATTGATAATCTCTGCATGCTAAGAAAATTTTATGCTTTTCATTTCAGTAAAATGTGAACCTTCCAGCTACAAATGAAGTGTTCTTCACTTGTTGATAGCGCAAGTCAGCGCTTGCTTCCAGCATACAACTTTTTCTTCTTTTTAATTGGCGTGGATAGCTTACAACTAGTTTTAGTAATTGTTTATTGTTTCTGATTTTCACTTTGTCCTTTCTGTGCGTGCACTCACCTTCACAAAGTATGCGTAGGACAAACTGATCGCTATGGTGGGGAAGGGCGAATCCATCAATGGCCAATCTCGTGTTCGCGGATCAGATTTGTTGTCCATGAGATCACGCCAGCCAGCGTAAATTGTGTTGATGTAGTAGTCCTGCAAGCAAAAAAGAAGAGAAAGAGAAAATAGTTAAAAACTGTGAAGATAATATAATTTTACGAGAATATTCTAGGTGAGGGTAATGCTCGCAAGTTTAATAGAGGCTATAAAGATTGGTTGCAAATTTATATTTTTATATATTATAATACATGAGTATAAAATTGCAGATTCAGTAATGCAATGCATTTGATAATGAAATTCGGCATCGCGAAAATTAATAAAGTATCATATGTATGTACATGCGTACATATATATATATATATATTTTCGAGTTTAGAACTTCGTTGTAGTACGGATCCCGTACGCACAAATAACGCGATTTAATTTCGGGATCCCGGTTTTACATTTCGGGATTCGGTTTTTTTTTAATTTTTTTGCTTCTATATGTATGCTATATTATATTGAAACTAGTTTATTTAATTTTCTTTTAGAGATTCAGTTAGCTTATGGTATTTGGTACCAAGTTCTTTACTACGTGATTCGTAATTTCTTTAGTTTTAGGGTTTTTACCGATGACAAGGAAATGTCAATAACTTATTCATATAATTTATAAAATCTATTAAATAATATTTATAAGTAGATATTATGAAACTAATCCCAAATAAGTTTTCACTCGAAATATTGCATTTCTGACAAAAAAAAATTGGAGTATTTGAAAATAATTATATTATATATCGCTAACCAAAAATTTGAAATTTGTGATTGGTTAATTAGAAGCTGCTTACAAAAATTCGGGATCCCGAACATACTTTATTTTCGTAATCGCTATAAAAGTATAAAATTGCTGATCCAGAAAATGTTAAGCAGCTTATAAAAATTCGGGATCTTGAACTTTATTTATTTTCGGGATTGACAATTTTACTTATTTTGATGATTGCTTAACTTATAACATTTAATTATTATGATGCAATCCTTTGAAAATGGTTTGCAAGTTAATCATTTCGAAAAAAACTGAAAATTTTTAAGTAAACTTAATAAAGTTTCTATTTGATGTACTCAAAAAAGTATCGACAGTATTTCTAAAATTTAAATAATAAGCATTACTTTCAAAGAAATTTATTGCATAACATAAATGGGCACATCCAGTTGGCGGCTTAGACTAAGCTCCCACGCTGCCTGCCATTAATTGAATTCGAGATTTCCAGCTTTAATTATTTGTAAACAAATTCTATATGGAAATTATCGGTATTAAGTGGATTGGTTTAAAAAAATGCTGTACTTAAGTCAAAGTACATAGATAGCACACACAGCTAACAGTAAATCACTTCAACCCCAATTAAGCTTAAGCACTTAACAATTTGCTTATGAGCAGTGGGCAATGCTTGACCATAAGTGAGTACTTGATCTTTGGAAAGCGATTTAAAGGCTTTTTGTAACGGTCACGTTACCACTTTAAGGTTAAAACAATAAAAAATAAGCAAAACAAAGTTTAAAGTTTCATTAAATTACACATAAATATAAAAATGGCGCGGTGAGTTGGTGATGTGTGGGGTTTTGGGTGAAAGGTGAGAGGTGAGAGGAAGAAAACTGTGTTTGGAGATGTTTTGTCGAGTTCTAATGAAACCAAAATTAATTAAAGATCTTTATAAATAAATAGAAAATTATAAAATTAAATGCTTTTAAACAACAACAATATATATATCCTCAGTGTACTTATGCTTTTAAAAGCATTCATTTTAGTTACCATTATGACTTTTCATGCTCATGTTCGCCATTCCTTTCATTACGTGTATGCTCCTGGATCCACGAACATCATATACAGCATTTCGCTTTCAGTTTTGATTCTTTGCTTGTTCAGCACCATGTTCACCTGCTTTGTAATCTTGTTCGAAACCAGAGCGGATAAGAGAATTACAAAAGACTGTGCGCGCCGCCTGTCAAAGCAAGGCGTTTAACGTGGCAAAGTAGACAGACAGTCATTTAGTGCTGCAGTTGCTGTCTTGACGAACATACATAAGCATTTATGCTTGCATGTAGGTGTTCTGCTGGAATTATGTTGTATACATATTGATGCAAAGCGCCCATTTAAGATTAGTTGAACGAGATATGCAACAAAAATTGGTTATGAAGAAATTCCACCAACAACATTTTGGATTAAAGTGGCGTTCTGTTGCTACAGCTTAAGGCTGTGCTGCTGGTCCAAAATGACCTCAATTTTTAAGAACGTGGGAAAATGTATAATTCATATTTAATTTTGGCTGGCTTATTTATTAATTTATTTCGATATTAATTAAAATATGCTTGATAAATGGCTGTAACACAGCGCATAATAATTAAATAATCACAGGCTATATTTCAGCAGGAGTAGTGCAACCTCCCCAAATTGATGGAATTGATTTAAACAGAATTTTTTAAGTGAGATATGTTAATTCAATTACGCAATAAGAGTTAATAAAATTTGAAGAGTTGTTACAAATAATTTTCAGCAATATTTGTCTACGCGGCTTTCCGATCCACTTTGTAATCACGATTATAAAACTCTATGAATTTTTTATTAATATAAGCCAAAATATGAGTGTAGAGTAAATTAAACATTTTTGACACATTTAAAAGTTCATAACATTTTAGGGATCCCGAATTACAAAATTCAGTTTTCGGAATTTTTAAAAATATTTCTTACCTAAAGCAAAAAAGTTAATATGAACAAAAAGATTAATAAAAAAAACACGAGTTCTAAATTAAATTAAATTTCGAAATAATGGAAAATTTAAAATAATTTCGGGATCCCGAATTTTAAAATTACGATTTCGGAATTTTTAAAAACAATTTAATAAAATCTCGGGATACCGATTTTGTTTTTGGGTTTTTATAGTATCTGAGTTTCATTATATATGTATATTGCTTAAACTTTTTTAAATTCTCAGTGAATATATGTAGTTAATAAATTAACGTTAGGAAATATTGATTAGTTTGAGTATGAAATTTTTTTAGAGAGCGCATTTTAAACTAAAAATTTTTTTAAGGAAATCAATTTTATTTTAATGGGAATGTCATAAAAAAATCGTGATCCCGAAACAACGTATTTTATATATTTTAATTTTTGCAGCAAATATTAATGCGAAAACATTTTTAGACAATGAATAAATGATTTAAGAAATTCAAAAGAATTTCGGAATCCCGATATAATACATGTTTTTTAAATTTTTTCAACAAATATTTATAAGAAATTTTTTTAATTATTTAACCTTATTTAAAATGGTTTTCAAAAATTCAAAAACATTTTCGGGATCCCGAAAGCAATTTTTTAATGAAATAATTTTCCATAAAATGTTTTGAAAAACTCAAACACAATTTCGGGATCCCGAAATTACAGCCTACAATCCCGAAATAATATATTTATATTTTTGTTTTCAACACAACTTGGGGTTTTTTTTAATGTGCCTACAGTTTTTCTCATTTACTATTGAAACTTCAATAAAAGTCAATCAACTTTTGTTAAATTATAATCAAATACATATGCATGTATATAATTATATGCACATGCTCAAGTGATTAATTTCACTTTTATAAACATTCTTCATAAACAGCGTCACACCTAAACAGACAGTAGCTGCGTTGTAATTTTATTTTTCATTAAAATTTTACTATTACTGTTAGTCTGCACTGTTATTGTAAGTAGAAACGTGCAGACAATAAACAGTCTTTTAGGTTTCAGTGCTCTTACGGGCTCATTAAAGAGAGTATATGACTTCGCATAGTTACAAGGAAACAATCTACTTGCCAAACAAACACTAAATAAACGTTAGTTTTGAGAACAAATTCCGAACATGTCAATTTACCGTCAGCCAATGTTGATTATGTACAGTTTAACAGTCAACTGCAAAATGCATACTTCAAAGTGTATACAAATGTGCGGATTAGAGTTGAACACTTGACATGGGAACAATATAACCAATCACTTTTGTTGTGATTTAAGTGTTTACTTAAATAATATTATATTTCATTTATCTATGAACAGTATCAGTTTATCGAGGTTATTATAAGAGAAAGTTTTACATTGCCACTGTTAATAACTCATATGCTAAATGAGTCTGTAAAGCATATGTGCATGCATTTTTTCGCTCAACAAATGTTAGCAGTCAAAATTATTGTTAGCAGTAACTACAGTGCCACTTTCTGTTAACTGGCATCTCACTAAATTGAACATAATAAATTAGATATGCAATCACATAGTTTTATAACTGCACACCTCTAATGCATATACACACTTACAGTGTTTAGTAAATAAATTCTAACGTAAGCACTTAAGTGTTGCTGCAAGTATAAACATTTCCTAGCAATTTCTATGACAATATTTGCACTTGGCTGATGAGAAGAAAATATGAAAACAACAACAAAAGCAATTTACATTCTTACATATATAAGTTATATATGTTTATTAGATAAAAATTCGTGCGTCTTTTTATATTGAAAACTTATATTATAAATGAACTAAAAGAGCATGCAATCACTGACGTGATTGAGCTTCTATTTAAGTGCGCGTGTGTGTTGTTGTACTGCTTTTAGGTAGTCTGTAACAGGAAATAACACCCTTTTAATTGGTTTTACTAAGCGTTCATTTAGCGTGTGGATAACTTCGTTGGCGCGCTGGAAAATACTCTTATTATTAATATGTGGTTTTTAGCGTACAAAAGCAATAATGTACGTTATTTATAAGTGGGGAGTAACAGGTAGATGAATTAAAAATTTCCAACTGATTTTTAATGCTTATGTATATGGAATGTTGCTGTTGATTTTCAGTTTCAGGCACTATAAATATATTTTCTTTAAAAATTCTACTAGCCAATATTTCAATGGTGGGTTTTTAAGCTTGAACGGCTTGAAACCCTATAGTTTTTGAATTTTATTTCAAACTAGATCTATATTTTTTGAACAACCCGTGTTAAGCCACTTCAAATACATATGAGAACATGTTAATTTGCAATACGCGAACTTGTGTTTCGTTTTCGGAGAGATCGCTCTGAAATTTTGCACACATTCTTTTCTCTCATAGAAAG